AGTCAGAATTCTTGAAGTGGACTTCAAGTCCCAGAATTCCCCAGCCAGCATCCTTGAAGATAGGTGGACTTCAAGTCCCAGAATTCCCCAGCCAGTATCCTTGTAGGTGGACTTCAAGTCCCAGAATTCCCCAGCCAGCATCCTTGAAGATAGGTGGACTTCAATTACCAGAATTCCCTAGCCAGCGTGCTTTAAGATGGGTGAACCAACTCCCAGAATTCCCCAGCCAGCATGCTTTAAAATGGGTGGGCTTCAACTCCCAGAATCCCCCAGCTAGCATGCTTTAAGAGGGGTGGGCTTCAACTCCACTCATCTTAAGAGTTCACCAGGTTGAGAAACACTCCTGAGGAATGTTTTTTCCCTTTTAACACCCGCTCACAAAGATTTCCAGAGTCTCTGACTTTATTTACAAAACAATCCATTTCTGAGCTCCAATACACAAAGATGAAAAAAAAACCAAAAACCCCAGGGGAGGTTTTAGAGTAGGCATCAGGGAACGACGGACAGGGAAAAAAGGGAAAAAAAGAGAGGAGGCATTTCAGAACTTGAATTCCTTGTACTTCTTGCCCCCGGCTCGGCTGTCCTGGGGCTGTGCTTTCCGCTTCTTTTGCTAAAGGAAAAAAATAAATAAACAAATGCATGAATAAAGTTGGGGTGTTTGTGACAGCTAGTCGGGGACTGGCGATTTCCTCCTGTTATCCATAACCAGGGAATCCTCAATTCCCTCCAATTAGCTCAGCAACCTGCCTTTGACCAGCATAAGCATCTCCGGTCCAGGCTTCTGTGTTAAGATTTTCCCAGTGTCCTTTGGGGCCCTCAGCTGCTGTTGCAGGGGTCTTCAAACTGGGCCCTTTGATGACTTGTGGACTTCAACTCCCAGAATTCCTCAGCCAGGCACGCGTGCCTGGCTGAGGAATTCTGGGAGCTGAAGTCCACAAGTCATCAAAGGGCCAAGTTTGAAGACCCCTGGGCTACTGGTTCCTCTTAGCCGAAGAATTGACTTAACTCACCTGAAAACAGATACTATGTGGGCGTCCATTCCCCAGCAAAGCAGCTATATTCAAGCTTTGGGGTTTGATGTTTAGCAAAGGCCCATGGTCTCACCTGGGGGGCCCAGACAATGCAGTTCCACTGATTTAATTGTTCTCACTGTCAGGAAATTTCTCCTTAGTTCTAGGTTGCTTCTCTGCTTAAGAAGCTTCCACCCCTGACTTCTTGTCCTGCCTTCTGGTGCTTTGGAGGACAAAACTGTTGGTCTTTCCCCTATGTTTGATCTCGGGACGTCGATCCACCTCACCTTCTGTTTGGCCGCGTGCTCGGCCACCATGTCGCTGAAATCCTCCTTCTCCACCTGGGCCTGCTGCTCTCTCACGTGCTCTTCGTACTTCTGGGTCATAGCCATGGGATCGAGTTCCAATTCCTCAGGCGCCAGGGCGACCTCCACCCCTTGGATTTCGGGGACCGGCCCTTTGCGGCTCATGGCCTGCGGGGAGAGAGAAAGGAGCCGGACAGGGGGACGGGGGAGGCGTCAGATTAGGGACGAAGAAAGAAGCCGGGTCCGGCCCGCTAAGACCCCCCTTTAAGCGATGATGGTTTGCTGGGCAGTTTAAGGGCAGATCTGCAGCTGTGAGGCTCTGTCAACAGCCCTATGGCGCCTTCACGGCAGCAGACGTGAACTTTTGTGAGCGATGTCAAAAATCATAAGCGATTGGTTGGCTTAACAAGCAACGTTACAGGACAGTGAAATTGAAGTGTTTGTAATTCACAGCGTAGCTGTGTTTCTCAGCCATGGCAGCTTGAAGATGGGTGGGCTTCAACCCCCAGAATCCCCCAGCCAGCATGCTTTAAGATGGGTGGGCTTCAACTCCCAGAATCCCCCAGCCAGCA